GTTATCTTCAACTCTGGGTAAGTTCATGATAACTCTGTGAAGCCAGTTTGAAGGCAACTTGTTTGAAGTTGGTGGCTTTTTTTTTTTTTTTTTTTTTTAGTGCAGTGGAGATTAAGCCCTCCAGTTGAGTTTGGCAAAGGTTATGTATGTGAAAGGTCACATATCAGAAAATTTGCACTTTATTTATTTATTTTTAGAGACAGGGTCTTGCTTTGGCACTCAGGCTGGAGTGCAGTGGTGCAGTCATAGCCCACTGTTGCCTCATACCTCTGGGCTCAAGTGATCCTCCTGCCTTACTTAGCCTCCTGAGTAGCTAGGACTACAGATAGGCACATGCCATGGTGCCAGCTAATTTTTTTTTTGTAGAAATGGCCTCACGATGAGGCTGGTCTCAAACTCCTAGCCTCAAGCAATCCTCCCACCTCAGCCTCCCCAAATGCTGGGATTACAGACATGAGCCACCGCTGCTGGATGGAAAATTTGTACATTTAAACACCTGACATACAGCAAGCAGTCCTCATAAAATAGAGATGAGAAAATATTTTTAATGTACAACTTATGTCTGTTTTGTTTTAACACAAATTAGGACTTATTAACCTCTTAGCAAACAACTTACTATACCGTATTATATTTAATTGCTAGGGAGCTAGGCAGAATGTCAATTGTTTTAAATCACTAGACAGGATTTTTTTTTTTTAAAGATGGGCTCTTACTATGTTGCTCAGGCTGGCCTCAAACTCCTGGCTGAAGTGATTCTCCTGCCTCAGCCTTCTTAGTAGCTGGGACTACAGATGCATGCCACCAAGCCTAGCTGTAGATAGGAAGATTTGATTAGATTTGATTTAATCTTCTTCCCCTAACCCAAATGCATATTGGTATTTGATATAACATTTTTTTTTTTGTAATTTCACTTTAAGATTTTTTTTATCTTACTTTCTTCCTTTGTACTCAAGGAAAAAGGGACATTCTAAATATACAAACTGAAAGGAGGAAGCAGAGCTAATGGCAGTCAAGCTAATGCCAGCTAAGAGGATGTTCACTACAGCATTGTTCATAACAGGAAAGTTTAGAAACAAACTAAATATCCATCAATGGGGTGTAAGTTAAATAAACAATGGTATGGCTACTGATAGGACACAAAGCAGGGATTAAAAATCAAGTTTTAGAAATAACATGCTTGCATGGACAAACTAAACAAGATATTTGGCTCAGAGAGGGTAAAAAGGCCCCAAAACAGTACAGAGTATGATTCCAATCTACTAAATTTTTCCTTTGGATGGTGAGATTTTAATTTTCTTTTTGGTGCTTTGCTGTATCTCCCAAATTTTCTAAATGAACTAGAATTCCTTCTGTACTCAGAAAAAAATTAGTAATAATAAATTGCTCTCTAAAGCAGCATAACCCAATCAAAATATAATGCAAGTCATATATATAATTTTAAATATTTTAGTAGCACATTAACAAAAGTAAAAAGAAACAGGTGAAATTAACTTTTAGAATATTTCTTATATAACATATCCAAAATACTAAATGTGATTAATATCAAATCATTATTAATGAAATACTTTACTTTTTTGTATTAGGTCTTCAAAGTCACTTTTAGCACATTTCAGTTTAGTCTAGTCACATTTCAACTGCTCAATTGCCAAGTCGCTAATGGCTACTGTATTGGACAGCACAGCTTTAGATCCTTGGCAGAAGCTATACTTTCAGATCAAATGTGCCCAAACCATTATTCTAAAACCCTCCACTAACAACCTCAACCTCCATGTAAACATCTCCATCTGTGCCAAGCTGTTTTTTCTAACAAGAAAAGAGATGTGCTTGGGAGATAGGCAGACGTGAGTTTGAATCTTCCCTCTGTAACATTTATTAGCTGTGTGATCTTCGGTGGGTTAATTAACCTCTCTGTGCCTCATTTGACCTGTTCTGTAAATGAGGATAATATCCACTGTGAGTTGTTGAGATTGAAATAGTGTATTAAAATGCCTAATACATGGAACGTACTTGATAACAGATATAGCTATTATCTACCCCTTTCCCACCTTCCTTATTGAGGTAAAATAAACATTAGACTTAGCAGGAGGCAGCATAACACAATTCTTAAAACAGAGATGGGAGACAATCTCAATTAAAATGGTACTTAGGGTTTTGTATGTAGCGGAGCAGCTCCCTCACTGTGACCTACTGAAACTCAGCCCTCAACACAGAGAATAAAATGGTCCTAAACTAATCTGGGGGGTGGGTATGGAAAGCCTAGACTGAGAAATCCACAATAAATACACTAGTATTTGAAAACGGGCTACCTAATGGCAGGGAACAAATAGCATACATCTTTGCTTGCCTCCCATGGCTCTTGCTCAGCAAATATTCAATCCATTAAATAAACAGATATAGATTCTCGATTATGTGCCAGGGAGCCCACTAGACAAACGGGTTAGTAGCAAAAAAGGGAGGTGTTCCCTTAACTGAATGGAGGAATGAATGAATGAACCGATGAACATTGTACCTGTTCTGATTTTTCTGAACTTAGTCATCAGTCTTTCTGTTGAATAATTTTTCTTGTTTGACCTAAGATTTTCTTTATTATGTCACTAGTAGTGGGATTTCCTTAAAAAGGCTCAACTGAAATATGATCAGTTTACTATGGCTGAATCTAGATAAAGGGTATATGCGTACTCAACTTTTATGTCAGGTTCAAAAATTTCATGATCAAAAGTTAAAAAAACACCAATAATAATAGAAGGTAATTATCGCAGCATGTATCGATGGTTTCATAGCATCGCTATTTACAACAGAGTTAACCAGAAACTATACAGATGCCCAAAGAGGTGAATGAGTAAAAAGATTCACATAATCAAGAGAATAAAATACTATACAGCAACTAATTCACATCTGTAGACTTTTTAAATTCATGGAAATATGTAATGAAATGATGTGAAATGGAAAAAAAAGCAGAATATAACCCATTATTTCAACAATGAAAATATATGTGATATGCATTTACAAAAACTAAAAACATATTTGGCCGGGTAGGAACATTTTTTTCCCTCTAGGTACGGTTGCCCATGTTAATACATGTAATATAAATAAATAAATAACACATAAATCCTGTTTGCTAAGCAAACTTATCCTACACCAGAAGGCAGAATGGCTAGGAAAAATTGCCTATCTAGTGCTTCAACAAAGGAACATCATCTCTCAATTACCGCGCTAATATGCAGGGACACTTTGGCAAGTGATTCCCAGTTACTGGTGTATAGTTTAATGTACCACTTGGAACCTAATGGCAGATTTGGGATTTTTCTTAATCCGAGTAATTATTCAGAGCAACATACTCAACAAAAACGTTTGACTGCTAGTGTCAGATTTTATTTTCACATGATAACCCCTCAATCCTTTAACCACAAGAGTGCACACAAGGTAAAAAAAAAAAAAAATTAAGCCTGCTGGCTTTCACTGTTATTGTAGTTTGATTTCATGCAGGATAGATCAGAATAGCTGATTCACATTAGGAAGGACAGTCCCGCACTGTCTTTCACAAGCACTTTGTTTTTGAAAACATAAAAACTTACCAAATCGTTTAGTACTTAAAAGTAACAACATCCTCATCATCTAGTGGTTTAAATGATGACCGAACAATAACTCAAGCTAGTTGGGTTCTGTATTTCCTTTATTAATATAATTAGTATTCTTAGATCTTTTTAAATTGCTCTACTCTAGCCCTAGGGGGGAATGATTTCAAAAGGCTGAATACATACACTGATTCAAGATACGATTTCTCACACATCCACCCTCTATAATTTTGGATTACAGAGCAATACAGAGTAATTCGGGCACCGACTCTTTGGCAATGTTGTTTAAAAACAAAGGTACTATTACACACAGCCTAGGATTTTTATTTTGCATTGCACATCAGTATATTTATGTAATACTTTTTCTTTAATATAAAAACTGTGACCTGAATTTTTTTGAAAAATGATTACTTAAGAATATGATAATTATGGGACTCCTAATTGACTCAAAAGCTCAGAGCTGAAATCCAGGTAGAGTTTGAACACACCCTACAAAGAGTTGAGATCCAAATGGCATAAACTTTATGAAACTTTCAATTTAAGCCTTAAGTTTACTGGTTTGAGGGTATCAATACAATAAAAGAGGATTAAGAAATAATTTGATAAAATCATTTGCCTTGTCCAAATGATCTGGGTGCCAATCCTGGCTATAAAGTTCACATCTGAGTGATCTTCAACAAAATATACATAGTTTTAAAATTAAAACAATAATTATAAATGATAAACATGAAAATGCTAGGAAGAGTATCAATCATTGCTAACATATTATCTAGGAATTTTCTTCTTCAAATGGATACATTTTACATACAACCTTTAATCATAGAGACACTTTTTCACATAACTTTAAGCCATTGGGCTATTTATATACATGGCACAAATCTTACTAACAGAAATGTACTATTTAAGATTAAAAGAAACTTGTAGAAATGATAGTTTTTCATAACTTTAAGCCATAGGGCTAATTATACATGACATAGAAATCTTACCTACAAAACTGCACTATTTTAGTTTAAAAGAGAGTTGAAGAAATGATACTAACAGTCCAAGTCATATTTAAAGAAGCCAACAAAAAGGTAAACTGAGATGGATAAACAGCCTTCTTTGGGAATTTATCTTGAGAAGGAACTAAAACACACATTACACATAACCAATATCTGAAAGATCCAAAAAGACACGACTCCAATAATGCAAAAGATAAGTGACGCTGAATTACAATGGAGAAGTTCAACAAAATCCAGTTCTTCCTACCATTCCTCCCACAAAACAAACAAAAGCAGAAAACAAGCAACACGCAGGTACTATTTGGTTTACCTGTTTGGTGACCCTCACAGTGGCTTCATGGACGGGGACATGAAGCTGCAGCATATTTAGTGAATGAAAGGGAAGACTGAGGGCTTGGGAATGTGTGCAGGAGACCGACCCTACCTTCCACGGATTTCCCAATACTGTGTAAGTGAGTGATAGAACTGTAGCTTTGGGCAACGGTCTTCAAAAACTCTTCCATCCCTTCCTGGTGGTGGTAGTTGAAATCCAGCGCAGCTACCAAAGGCAGCAGCAGCCCTAGCCAGAGGCACGGGAAGTCCATGTTCTAGAGATGAATAAAAATAATAATAAAGCTGAGAACAGATGAAGGAAGGCGAGGGCATTACTAGCTCGGGCTCAGCGCTCTCGTCCCAGGGTGTCCTGACACTAAGGCTCCCCGCTTCCTAAGGAGGCAAGAGTTGGAAGCGACACCTTCGGGAGTTAGCAGGGCACGGGCAGCCTCGGTGCCCTCGAACCAGCCGGCCGCCCCCTCCCTCTCCTCCTCCCTCCCCTCCTCCTCCTCCCTGCGCCTCCGCCGCCCGCCGCGGCCGCCTGGCAGCTGCAGCAGCTGCGCCGGCCCGCGCGCCCTCAGCCTCACCAGGGCCCAGGCGCGCACCCGGCCCGCCCGCGGCCGCCCCGCGGGGCCGGCGTTATAGCCCGGTCGGGGGGCGGGCGCGCCCGGGCTCCGCCCCCGCACGTCCCGCCGGCCCACTCGGGCGCCGCGGGGCCCTCCTGGGCGGGGCCGCGGCCGCCTTCGCACCTGGGCCGGCCGGCGCCCGCGGCGCGCGGACTTTCGGGGCGCGGCGGCGGGTGCGGGTGGGCGGCGGGAGCCGCAGGAGCGCCAGTCGCCGCTGGACAGCGTTTGCCGGCGCCCCGGGTTGGAAGTGCGTCCTGTCCTTGGCCGCGGCTGCGCCCAGGGCGGGCCCCAGGGCGCTCCGCCGAGGAGCACTCGCAGTCGCCGGCTGCAGCCACTTTGGGGGCGTTTAGGGGCTCGGCGGGTTTCCCGCAGATGGCGGCGCCGGGGCCCACCTGGAGCCGGGGACGCACCCTGAGCCCCGCGCGGGCTCCTGCGAGCTGCGCCCCCGGCCGTGCCCGGCTCCCCAGCCCTCCTGCTCTGCAGTCGCGTGGGCTTTAGGAAGGAAGAACGTGTGTGTGTGTGTAAGTTTTAAATGCCATCAAGTGTGGAGTCCAGGAAATTTTCCGACAAATTTATGTGGTGGGTGGGATTTGACTAAACCTGAGTTGAATTTAAAACTGGCAGTCACACGGAAGAAAGCAGATCCACTGCTGCAAATCCGATGCTTCCTCCACCTGTGTTTCCTGGGCCAACTTCAGTTCTCTCGGCCTAAAAAGCTTCTTTCTGGGACGGTCTGTGTTTGCACAGGCGAGAACAAAGGCTTCACTTAAATTTGAGAGGTGGTTTGTGGCGCGGGCCACCGCTCTCTAAAAGACACACACCTCCACACACTCTCTCCGATGGATTTTAGGAGAGCTGTCAGAGTGATGAGGGCCAGGCAAGGGCCTGGTTAATACAAAAAGTTTGAAAACCACTGATTTGAGGTAACATTCCTCTTTCACAGATTAAAAATACTGATGCAAGGACCTCACTCCAGACTAATTGAACAGAATTTCTCTTGTTGAAGCCCAAGAAAAGGTATTTTTTAAAGGACCTTGAGCGAATTTCACGTACCTTCAAGAGTTGAGAATATAGCTTCTCATAGGACATGGGGGCCAATCCCTCCTCTGACACCTGGGGCTGTCAACTCCCTGTGCCTTAGTTTCCTGGTCTGTAAAATGGAAGTCTTAATTGTACCTACCTAAATAAGGTTGGCAGGCACGTTGTAAGAATAACTCTGTAAGGAGAATTTTCTAAGAGTTGGAAAATCTTAATATGAAATTGGGTTTTTAGAAATTGGGTTTTTGAGTGAATTTTTTTTTAAAGTGTGCAGCAGTTACCATGGAAAATGTGATTTCCACTAGATGGCTTGAAGAGGTTCTGTTTTCATTGTTTCATCGACTAAGAGTCTAAGAGAGGGGGGACAGGGACTTGAGATTATTTAAATTTAGGGAAAGTTACTGTAAGGAATGGAAAAGGGAACTGATGAGGAACAAATGAAGGATTGCTGATCTACTTTAAAAATCACATATTTGAGGCCTGGTGGCACACACATATAATCCTAGCACTTTGGGAGGCCCAGGTGGGAGGACTGCTTGAGACCAGGAGTTCCAGACCAGCCTGAGCAACATAGCGGGACCCTATCTCAACAACAACAACAACAACAAAAAAAAAACCAGAAAAATTAGCTGGGCATCGTGGTGCATGCCTGTCGTCCCAGCTACTCTGGAAGCTGAGGCAGGAGGATTGCTTGAGCCCCAGATTTTGAGGTTGCAGTGACCTACAATGATGCCACTGTGCTCTAGCTGGTGCGACAGAGCAAGACCTTGTCTCAAAAAAAAAAAAAATCACATATTTGTAATAGAGGTAAGTGGAGGCTGTATGATTTCCTGTAGTGGTGCTGGGGCTGGAGACCAGAAGAAATGGTGGCTTCATCAATACTGGGATGGAGATTGCCAGGATTATTGCTCCAGAAAAATAAAGGGGTGAGATACAGTTGAAATTGCTGCCCTTGGGGTTCACACTAGGTAGGAAAGGGAAGCAAATTCAGGAGACAGCTAATCAGAGAATGGAAGGAGGGAGTACAGAGGATTGAGGTCTGAAGGTTCAGGACATAGCAACTCAAAAGCGTGGTCTAGGGACAGCACTGACATCACCTGGGAGCTTATAGGAAATGCAGAATATCTTGTCCCACTCCAAGCCTGCTGACTCAGAACATGGATTTTAATAAGATTTCTAGATGATGTATATGTACATTCAAATTTGAGATGCACTGCTCTAGAGGGCAAAACAGTTTAGTGTTAGAGTATGAAAGATACAGAAAAATAAAATATTAGCCTAATAGAGTCAAATACTGAAACTTAGGATTTCAGAGGTGATCTAAGCATGACACCATTAAAGGTAAAACCATAATAAAAAGGCTGATAATTTGAAAACATAAGAATTGATGTCTCTGTACAGGAAAAGCCAGCATAAAGGTTATAAGAAAAATAAAAAATTGGGAGAAAGAATTAATAGCTCTTACAAAATCAAGATTGGGCAAAGTACATTAATAGGCAGTTCATAAAAGCAGTAACACAAATGTCCAATAAACGTAGTGGAGGTTACTAACCTGGTAAGCAAAGAATTACAAATTAAAAGGGTAAAGTAATATTTTGATTTGCTTATTATTGAGAAAGATAAAAAGATTGACAATACGTGGAAGTGGACAGGATCTGAGGAAATGACATTTATGCTGTTTCAATGATACTATAAATTGATAACAACCTTTCTGGAGAACAATCTGGGAATAGACATCAAAATTTTAAATGTGCTATTCCTTGCTAGGAATTTATGCTGTAAAAGTTATTTGAAGATATGCTGAGTTTATATGTGTTAGGAGCTTCATAAGTGCCCCTGCTTTTGCTTTACATTGTGACAAAGTAGATAAAACCTACATGTCAAACAATAGCAGACTGGTTGAATCAGTGATTCTCAACTGGGGACATTATTGCTCAAACAAGACACTTGGCGATATCTGGAGACATTTTTGATTGTCACGACTAGGGGGAGGGTGCTACTGGCATCTAGTGCTGATTCAGAGGACAGGGAGGCTATTAAACATGCAGCAGTGCACAACACAGCCTCACACAACAAAGAATTATCCAGCCCAAAATGTCAATAATGCTGAGGTTGAGACAGCCGGGGTTAGGTAAAGAATGTTATAGCCACATAATTAATTATTTTTCAGCCATAATACTAATGGTGGAGGTCTGTATTTATTGATTTGCAAAGATAAATTGTTCAGTGGCAAAAGCAGCAAATAAAAGTAAAATGAATAGTAGCATCCTGTTTAGGTAAAGCAAACAAACAATAAAACCATTCCTAGCAAAATGTTTCAAAGGTTACAAACATGCTGAGCAGTAATCCCTGGGTTGCAATGTTTTATTTTTCTTTTTTTAATCTTTTTGCATTTTCTGAAATTTTTTTCCAATAAACATGCACTACTTTTAATCAGACAAACAATGAAGGCATTTTGATCTAAAAGCAAAGCAGAACAAAAAGGACACAAGCATTAGAGTTGAACAATTCTGAATGAAGACTGGATCTAAAATGTCTTTTGAGTAAATTACGAAAGTAAAGAGGAGGAGGTAAAAGTCACTGGAAATGGGATATTAAGAAATTGAAGAGCCAGGATGTTGGATCCGTCCTGCTTAAGGACTCTGAAGTTCCTGAGATAGCAGGAATTGGAACAGAGGGAAAAATTATAGTCAGGGGCTAAATACCTCAACAGATGTCAACGAGAATGGAAGAACAGGATAGCTAGACTTTGTGACTTTCAAACTTTCTTTTTTCTTTTTTTCAGAAGTGTCAAAAGGAAATATGAACAAGATTAAAGAAAAGTTAACAACCTACAAATTTTATGTACCCAGAAACAACCATTTTTTTTTTTTTTTTTTTTTTTTACGGAGTCTCACTCTCTTGCCTGGGCTAGAGTGCCGTGGCGTCAGCCTAGCTCACAGCCACCTCAAACTCCTGGGCTCAGGCGATCCTCCTGCCTCAGCCTCCTGGGTAGCTGGGACTATAGGCACGCGCCACTGTGCCCGGCTAATTTTTTTCTATTTTTAGTTGTTGTTTGGCTAATTTCTTTCTATTTATAGTAGAGACAGGGTCTCGCTCTTGCTCAGGCTGTTCTCGAACTCCTGAGCTCAAGCAGTCCTCCCGCCTCGGCCTGCCAGAGTGCTAGGATTACAGGCGTGAGCCACTGTGCTCGGCTGCAGAAACAACCATTCTTAAAACACCCAGTGATATTAACCAATCCCCTAATGTTGCACACTTGTTTCTAATATTTTACTACATAGCACATCCATAAACATTCTCAGAGCTAAATCTTTGAGCATATCCTTATCTCCTTAGGATCAATTCTTAGACATGCAATTGCTAGGTAAGAAAAGCATATACATTTTTAAGACTTAAGATATTTGGCCAAATTATACACCTATAAAAATGTCAAACGTATGATTTTCAAAATGTTAAAAAATAGTCTCATACAAATACAGAGTAAGCACAGGTCAAGTTTTTATTTTAACTCATTAATGAGGAAATCATCAGGGTAACAAATCTGGTTCAAAGAAAAATATAAGAAATTATGTACATATATATCAGTGTAGGAAAAAAGAACACTGCAATCATTCTAAATTATTGCTGTTAGACATAAACCTGATTAATGTCCTACAGAACAATAAACCATAACTTTTGGTGCCATCTTCTTACAGAGCAGAAATCATTTTCATCAGTGAAGGACAAAAATTATTTCTCTATTTGCCAAAAGTATTATCATCTTACCAATTTTCTGGAAGTTAACATCTAAATTGACAGTTGTAAATAACTGACAAATCAAGGTTCAATTCCCCTGGGGTGGGCTTGTTAGGCAATGCCCTAGCATAAAAACAAAGGCTACACAATTATAATTTTGCCTTCCAAGTTTTGGATAATTGTTTTCTTACCAAAGATCGTCCCAATTTATAGTCCTTGCTAATGATACATGAAAGTG